CAATGCTTGTATGTTCCTCGACGAGGATGCTCCCAGATCTTCATTGTCCCAATCCTCACTCATATTATTAATTGAAAAATTACAAACTTTTCAGATTTTGCCACTACTTATTATCGAACTTGTTTTTTATGCCAATGACAGAATGTCATGTTGCCGTAGACATGAAAAAGGATGTTATGATTAAAGGATTTCATCTCGCATTGTATGAAATCTCATTAGGAAGTCTTCCAACAGGTGTAAACAACATTTGGAGCTGAGTTTTTATTCAAATATATGACTCATTTATTTTTTGTTTACACATTATAACCCTGATTTCGATAATTTATTTACACGCCAGCTTATGATTGAACGTTTGATGTACAAAATCCCTTCACCTATCAACGTTCTTGTCCAACGTTATGCTTTAAAAGCTTCTCTACAATTTTTTATAAAAAATTTTTTGGAAAAACTCCAAAAAAAAACACTTATCACTCAATTTCATCAAGTTTTATCAGCGACAAAGTTCTCGCAGCCTTACTGCAATCTCATATATAATTTACAATAATATGTTATGAATTTTATTATTTTACTCGTGTCACAACGGGATCTATGTGTCATATTTGAAGGGTTCATTAATATTAACAAAGTAGCATGCATAATGCATGGACCCAACTCACATGCACAAATTGATCAACTGCAAAAAAAGAACTAGTGTTGCATTCGTTATACAAAAAACATTTTTCTGAACCTTTTAGAACCCTTTTCCAGGACGGAGTAGATGGACTTGAAATTTATTGAAAGGAATCCGAAAAGTATTGATAAAAATAGAAAGTGAATTATAGGTAGCCTCGTCCTAAATGAATTCAGTTGCTCTTGCATTGAAGCGGATCACTGATGGACATGAATTGGGCCACAACTCGGGGGACAGAAAAATTTGAAGTGGCTAGCTCTCGGTTGCATCTCAACAGCGCTTTATTTCGTCTTAAAAATATAGAATGACCATTACGTGTGTAAATTTTAGAGTTCTGTCAAATGAAATTGCCAAAATGAACTACAGGAACTTCAGAAACAAGTAGATGAAGGTTTTTAAATGCCACAAAAACCGTGTGGAACATTAATCATAACCCTTGCGGGAAAAACCGTCACTACGAGTCTTTGAGGGTGGGTGGAAGTGGTCAGAGACTAGTTTGATCAGATGTTGGTAACGAAATCCAAATAGATTGAAAAACGATACGTACCGATAATTCGCACGTCCTCCACCGGAGCCATATTGTCAAAAATAAGTTTTGTTGCATCTGGCATTGTGTTCCACGATGGCCACGTCTCCTCTGACGGAGTTCCCAGAACCGAGAAAATTCGCGAAATCTGTTCCAAATCGCTATGACCCTGAAATCGAGAAACTTCACTGAATGTTCCAAACGGAATGACGCAATGGCGATCTCATAGAATGAACCAGATCTGAGCAGACTTGTTTTTCTTACAATTATTGTGAAAATAGCGCATTGTTATGCCGCCATCTGGTGTTGTGTCATGGAGGCAGCTTAGTGGAAATGGTAAAGAGGTCTAGGGTCAGTCGTCGGAAAGTCGTCGAAGCCCATCCAGGAGTACCAAGCTCACAATCCCTTCACTGCTATAGGAATGATTCGAAGTGAGCATCGAAGGCGTCACCACTTACAATGTTCAAATCCGACGCCAACAACCGTCTTCTCAAGGCCAAAAAGAAGCACATCGCACGGCGCACCCGAGAGCTATTTATCACCGTCCTACAACTTCAGAGGGTCTATCCACAGCCATTACTCTTGAGGATTTCCTTCCGCTTATGCTGAATCCCTTCCACTGACTGCAGAAAACAAACATAAACCAGTAAGCCACTTCTTTAGAGAGCCAAATCAACTCATTTTTTTTGCCGGAAAGCGGAACCAATTCGCTAAAGCCCAACGACCATAAGGCCAATTGGGGCATTCATTGAAATCGGCTCGTTGACTTGTTCGAGTTCAACGGCAAAGCCATTAACGTAATTTGCTTGACGTGATAATAGCTGGACAAAATAATGACGGGAAATCAATGCCACCGGCCGACAAATTCTCGCCACTGACAGCAGCATTCAACAGCACAAATCCTGGGGGACACCGAAAGTAGTAGGCTTTACGGGGATTTCCTCACTAAAAATTAGCTTCGGACTGATCAACGTACTGAAAAGTTTCTTTGGTGTAAATTTAAACTGTTTATCAAAGGGCGTTCTTTGGAAAAGATGTCTAGAAACAACTCCGAGGCCTAGAGGAAAAAGACCATTCAAGTCAAATATCCAAATGTGCTTTGGTATCTTTTCCCAGATTGATTACACCATGGGAGACGACTGAGTCAGAGCGTAGTTCACGTCTAGTCGAATAATTCAGTTCGAGGTAAAATTCAAGATATGAAGGAGACGCGGAACGAAGAAAAGTAGCTCAGCCTATTTCCAAGTCCACAGGTTCCAGAGTAAAAGGCCTGCTTTGAATTCTGCCTGGGTCAGATAAATTTTCAATCCATTGGGGTCAATCGACAGCTGCGTTCGATGGAATGTAGTGAATGTTGAAAAATTGGTATCATTCTGTATTTTGAATATTTATTACATCATTATACTATGATGTAAGCGTGAAGCAAAACGAATTTTGATCCCTTCGAAGTGAAGGATGGGCCCCTCTGAGATGATGAATCATTTTAACAAAAGCTTCGCTTCTGACTATTAGTACAGGGTAGTGAAAGTCTGGGCTCGGTCACTCGAATACCACTCCAGCCGTGTACATTCTGAGCTACTGTTTCTCTTTTATCAGACTAGTCCTCTAACGGCATAAAAAGGAAGTGTTCAAGGTGGACCGATGGCTGAGGTGGGCACAGCATCAGTCAAGTCATCTGAACCTTTCTTGCTCTCTCAGACATTCGATACCGTCTTCAACCCAACTCCCAGAGTGTTTTTCACTGAGATCTCCATTGAATTGGCTAAAAACAGATAGGGGGTAAGCTCAATCTCGATCACGATATGAGATGGATTGTTTGGAGACTTATTAGAACATTTAGAAGGAATAAAATCGCAGTAAGAACATATGCTCTTCAAACATCCAACTGTCCAATTGCGTACAAAAACGACCTGCCCAAGCTTCAATCAGTTTCCCGACAACATTCGGAGACAATTGATGTTCAATATCCGTCTAGGAGCAAAGTACTACTACTGTCTCGAATGGGAAATCTGTGAAAGTTGGATTTGTTTTTTTTTTATTTGCATACCACCGTTGGGGTTTTCAGATTATTCAGGACCGCATGGAAGTATAGTGACATGATGTTATAATGGAGATGCTTGTATATTATCTAGATATTCTCTCTGCAGTAAACAGAAAAAAATCAATCCGCCTGAGTAATCGCAGTAACCGAATATAGTAGTAAATTGTCAACGCTTCAGAAACTCCGCAGCTACGACTAAAAATAATAAGTACGGGGATTGATGAGCAACTCACTGGGAAAAGTGCTGAGGCATTCACGAATTCCGCTAGAATACATCCAAGAGCCCAAATATCGACAGATGGAGTGTATCGCCTGAATTATCATTGTTAGGTCACTTCAAACCTAAACCTAAAGCTAAGAAAAAAATTCACCGGCTACCAAAGAGAAGCTCTGGGGCACGGTATTGTCGAGTGGCAACCTGCAATGCTTGTAATATTGATTTACACTTGGGTTTTGTTTATTTACAGACAACTTCTTTATATGTATTTTTATAGCTTTCCTATGCAATCTGCTTTGTCCAAATTCGAGATTTTGAGGGAACATGTCCTGTCCACCCGATAGAAGTACAGAATGCGTTTAAGCGAAAATACAATCGGCCCCCAATGGTGCAGCAAGTCTTTGTAGTTCTCAACCATTCCTTGCCTATCCTCCTACTGTTTCCTTTGAGGTAAGGTCAAATTTCCAATTTTTTTATTCATCATGGTTACGTTTCGGCACTGACTGAGTTCAGAAGGGGTGGTGATATAGGTGATGTAAATAGAAACGACTAAAAATAAAAATATTTCCATAAGATGCAAAAAATTCATAGAAATGAAAAGTAAAATTTCTAAATTTAATTTGTTTTTTTATCAGAAAAGAAGCACAGTAAACCAGAACCCTCATCAGATTGGCTACTCCCGCTCCCGTTTTTTGGCTATTTCTCGTCCAACATGCCAATGATTGATTTGGAATCAACCGCAATTTCTTCTCCACGAAATCTCCCACACACTCGTACACGACGTTGTCGATGTGGTGTAATTGTGATGTGGGCATCGATCTTGAAGAATAATGTGAGCAAGGTCGAAAAGCCGCTGGTGAATGAGCCGCACCGAGCAGGTGGACGAGCAAAATATAGCAGAAACGAAGCAAAGGGGAAAGCGAAATAATCAGTTGATCGCATAACATTCACAAAAATAATAGACTAAAAGCTAAATTTATCAAAATCAGAACGAAATGTTATAAGAACGTATGGTGTGGTAATTGTCATATGAAAAAAATCATATTTCCATGTGTAGCTACCCGAAATTTACTTCATTCTCATTAGTGATTTTACAAAGTTT